AGATCCTGAGATGATGACCTGTGACTCGTTGATCTTTGAGGGACGTCCAAATGGTTGAGGCTGATGTCTTGTGGGGTCGTAGATGCTGATATTGAGTGTATGCGATTGCAGCTCCGGTTCGTCTACCTAGAACTGATGGCGACCGGAGTACCAACCCGAATAACCGTACTATGGACTGAACTGAATCCTTGCTGCATTTGCACTTCACAAAATACTGGCCGCACTTGAAACGGCTTGACCAATCCTGGACGAGGATGGGCTGCTGGAAAGAGAGAAAAACAAAAAAAAGCCCCACTTGGAGTGCTGGCGGTATCTGCTGGCACTTGAACTCAAGGCTCCCCGGAGAGGTACCTTGAGCTCAAGTGCGAATTTGGCCCTGCGGCACTTGAGTTTCGAGGGCAAGCACTAGAGAGCCAGAAAGTAGAAACAACTCCGCGGCCAGCTTAGGGTGGGGTCCAACGGAGAATTTTCCTTCAACCCTTGAGTTCAAGTGGTGTTGAAAGAGGCCCTTTACCTTACTCCTTAGGTAGTGGAACCGTGGCCCCGTCCAATTTCCTTTTTTGCCTCCGTTTCGCTCTTTTGGGTATTGTGGCCACGCGCCTTTGTTTGCCCCCGTCCGCTCATAGGCAACTCTGCCATATGCCCTGGCCCTGGGCTGCAGGGGGCCGTGCATTTGTCCAACGGCCAGAACTACCGGGGCATATGGACAAGTTGATGAGGGTCTGGTGGGGGTATATGCAAAAGATGACAGGTCCAATTGGCGAGTGGGGAATCTGACGAGATACCCCAACTGTCAGGGGCATTTCAACAATTTTTCCTTTCGTGTTTTTGGCGTTTCGCTCTTTCTCTTTTACACACCTTCTGGGTATTGTGGCCTTCCGCCTCGCCGCACATGTGCGAAGTGAGGATGAATCTTCCGCGGTGTTGTGCCTGAAGATGTGGACAGTTGCATTCACGCTCGGCCCAAAACGGAAATAGGTGAGTTCGCGTGACGTGGCGTCTATGCCCTCTATCCCTTCCCCCCTTGCTTCCCTTCCCCTCCCCCCTCCCTCCCTCCCTCCCTCCATCAGAGGTGGAGAGTTCCGTTCACACTCGATCCACAAGTGAAACAGGTGGGTTTGCCTGCCGCAGCGACGTGCTCTCTCTCTCTCTCTCTCTCTCTCTCTCTCTCTCTCTCTCTCTCTCTCTCTCTCTCTCTCTCTCTCC